TCCTTGTTGGATTTCTGTATTTAGGTCATTTGATAATGATTTGACATGGTTTAGATGGGGAGATCCATAACCAAAAGCTCTGGTTGACTTTGTGTTACGAAAAAAAGAATCATTCTGTCTGTTTTATTATGTATTTTCATTTCCCTACAGCCCGCAGGCGTGGCTTGTGGTGGAGGTCCTTGGCCCTTTAATTTTGGCAAACTTTATTAATGTTTGATCTCGCATATGCAAATGCTCCTTGTGTCTACAGCCTCTGTAATCATTAATCATTCAAGTCCACATTTTGACTGCCGGAGCCTGGAAGACATTGCTGCATTCACTGTGATTAAAAAGAGACTGAACAAGTGGCAAAGTTAGAATCTTAGTTGAGAGCTAAGAAAGCTACGTGCCGCTCTTCAGCTGTCATGTCCATTATGTTTTCAAAGTCAGAAGTTATCCTTGTTAATGGCCCCAAAGTGCTGGATCTTATTATGGCAGAAGTGGATTTCAAATCTGGCCGAGCAGACTGTGTGAAATACTAATTCCCCTGGTCTCATCGAATAGCTTTTTCTGTCAGAATATCTATTTGTGGTAGCTGTAAGTGGTAAAAAAAAAAGACTATGAGTAATGGGAAGTAAGAAGATGGCAAAGATGACTCAGATATTCTTTCTCGTTCTTTCTGTCTCTAAATATATGTATATTTATATTTATGTAATGTAAGGACAAATTTCTTGTTTTAGATCACAGATTAATAAAGTAAGAAAGATGAGTGCTCTGCCAGGGATTGATCTGAAGCAGAATGACTAATGGTCTACTGGCCCTTTTCCACTGGTACCTACTGAGTTCAGTCCTACTCAGTTCGGCTTGGCACGGCTCAGCATGGTTTGGGTGGTTTTCCATTACAAATTATGGCCGAGCCAATAAGACAGACTGCGTCATGTCTTTTATATTTAACACAATCAGGAGGCAACAATGAAGTACATGGTGGCCACGATCTATCCACTGAACCTCAGAGCTGGACCATGCTGTTGGTTAGTGGATTTGACATTAACAACATTTATGTTCACTGAAATAATGAATAATGAAGTTTGTTGTCGCTGGGTTTTTCAAATGGGTAGATTACATGTGACAAAGTCGCTTTCTAATCATGTGACTCCCTCTCAAATCAGCGACTGGTGGAATCCGGCCGAATAGGTTCTAGAGTTACTTTATTTTAACGGCTGTTTTTGTCTATCATCCTAACTTAGACAATCTGGCAATGAATGACAACATTACATGTTGATGTTCTTTTTCTCCTGCAAACAGAAATTCATTTTTTGTGTTTTGTCCCCATTACATTATTTGAGCTTCCACTTGGATTAATAACTGCTCTGATCACAATATTCAGCATTTATGAGGATTGCAAGACTGACCATCAGTGCCCATTGTGATCATACATACTGACATCCATCCACACACACACACACACACACACACACACACACACACTTGAACAGCATGTGCTATGTTCATTGAGAGAAATGTATGCTTAGTTGTGTGGAAACATTCAGAGCAGGTAGGCCATATGTTTCCTAAACAAATTCCAATTAGGTGAGCCTGTAAATAAAAGATTAAACTTTTTACCAATTGTGAAATCGTCTAAATGCTTTCTGAGGCCGTTAGGCACTGGGACCTCCACACAGCAGACTGTGTTCTTCTCATCATGCCCTTGCTTACGGCAGTTTAGTGTGAACTCTGTGATCTTCAGACACCAATAACAGTTCAACCTTAGGCTATTTTGCTTTTAGTCACAGTACTGTAAGCTGGTACATCCTGTTTTTCTTTGGACAGCTTTCAGTATATTTCATGCTCAAACAACTAAATGTTCTAGAAATGGATGCTCAAATACCCAACATGACTCATTCTTTTTTTCACATATACATACGTGTTGTCCATTAACATTGTATTATTTTTTAGATAAATGTAGTAATGCATTGTTATATCGGATAAGCCTATATTGAGAATGTATGTGCGCATTTACTAGAAGATCTGGTTAAAATGGTTCCTGTATTTATTGCAAAAAAAAATGAAGCTGGGATGAGGGTCGCATTAGGAAAGTTTCCAAGACTTAAATAAACACACACTGCACACTGTTTAAGAAAAGAAAAGCAAACATGGAACCAGTTTGAAATAGTATACGTCACCCTCCTTTTATAAAGTTATTAATATATATATATATATATTATTTTTTTAATTTGACACGTTTTTTCCTGCTGTGTCATGCCTGTTCAGCATCAGCAAGGATGGATCTAAAATGAGCAGGAGCTACATTTGGTTTATTCTATCCATCCATCAACTGCTTAATCTCGGTAGGGTTGTTTGTTGGGTGGAGTCCATCCAAGCCTTTATTAGCTGAGAGGTGATATAAACCCTAGAGAGGTCTCAAGTCCATCACAGGGCCAGCTGTGAGGTTTCTCCTTTAAAAACCAACCTAATGGGATGTCAAATGGCAAAATCCACTTAAAGGGTACTACCAACCAGACAAAACTCTGGACCACAATATTGTTCAAGCTCAGTTTAGTTGACTCACAACTCTTTTGACACAACAGCATCCTCCCTTTCCTCCCGTCTCCTTCAAGTATATAAAACCCCGGGTCATGCCCATCCAGTGCAGGGTACACAGGGTACATCCACTATGATTAAGACCTGTAAATAATCAAGATTTGGATGGTAGACACATTTAAAATACTCAGGGGCATAGCTCCTTAACCCGTTACTGAATCAAAAATAGCCAACAATGATAAAACAAACAAACAAAACAAAAATAACATAACTAATCTCCCCCCCTTTCTCCTCGGGCCACTTGGTGAGTTCCAGCCAACCAATTAGACACACCTAGCCCTCATTAGCCCAGCCTCCATGACTGCTGATCTCCAAGCCACCTCAGAGAGGGAGAGACACCCCAAACACACTAAAAATACATTCAATAGAACAAATGACTGGAAAAAAAGGTGTCAATACCACCTGAGAATGTGGGAACTTGCCTCACAGCCACACTCAGACAAACGAGACAGACAGCTATACACACTCCCTGTTGATTTAGAGTTGTTAATTAAGCTAACACGCATGTTTTTGGATGGTGGGAGAAAGCCTGAGAACCCAGGTACATACAGGAGCAGGACACACAAACCCTGCACAGAAAGGTTTATTCCAAATGAAATAACTCAGTTTAACTATAGGTGATCTCAGTGACTAAACTAACTAAGTAGGAGAATGAGATACAAAAAAGCGTTGCAGTAATATGATATTTCAATGGTAATTCAGAAGATATTTTGTATCATGATGGACTTATGTTTCCAACTGTGTTTCATAAATAGCCTGTCACAAATATCTTATGGGAATATTTCCTGTTGTGGAGAAAATAGCGGTCGAACTAATGACACCACTAATGGGGAAAATGATCAACAGGAGCTTGATTCACACATATTACACGGTTTCATACACAGAATTGCCAGTGATCACAGTGTTTGCCATCTATTCAGTGTGACTGTGTTTGAGATAGCACATCTTCTTTCATCCTCACCCCGACATAGAACAGTTTGAACCCAAACAATACACGGCCTGAGCAGTGTAGCCTTCCAGTGATGAGCAAACATTGGTGCGGCAGCAGAGAGATAAATGAGACTGGAGAGTGGTTAACGGTGCAGAGACAGATGTATGGTCACAGCCCCTATCGCATTCTGACACCGTGTACCTCGATTGGAAGAAATAGGACAAAAACAAATCCTTATACTTCCTATTAAGTGCCTGTTGGATCACGTCACCTTTACAGAAATTCTTATTTACAAATACAAAATATGCGCAGTGACACTAATGGATGAAATATCACTATTCACAATTCTTACTAATCATTTCACCATCTTTTAAAAACAGTACCGTGTTGATTCAACTGAATTCTGGGTAGAAGGTAACAGCATGGTTGCATGTAGTTATTTAAAGCAAATCTACCATTCTGATCTAACCCATCCAGATGTCTTTTAATGCAGCACCATCTCACTAAAAAGTATTCACAATTCATCATAAAAACAAGTTGTAGTGATTAGCACCAACAGGAAATGGTGATCACCTCAGTCCTGGTGTTCAGCCGTGGAATCTATCAATCACTGTACACTTAAAGTGTAAATGGCTCCAAGCTTTTACAGGCTGCTACCTTTTGAAAACTTGTAGTTTGACAGGATTATTTACTCGTTTGAGTTGGTCAAAAGGCATTCTTCTCAAAGATGACCCAAGAGGCCAAGTTGCTGCATGCAGGGGATGTGCCAAAACATCCAAGTGGTTTGAACCCATATTATAGTCTAGATTATAAGGGACTGCATGGTAGCTGGAGTCCAGCTGGAGTCCAACTGCAATGCAGTTGATTCATTCCTCACTCTTGTTTCTGGAAATAATGACTTGAAGCAGAAAAGAGAATTTATAGTAAGTTCTGTTTGATTAAATCAATCTAACACAAGATTGAGACCAGGAAATGCTGTTGTCTTATAATACCCACCCACAAATACATTTGTGGCAAAACAGAATATCAACAGCAACAGTTTTATTTTACTATGACAATGCTAGGAGAATGAACAATATGTTCTTTTGCACCACACAATGAGATAAAACTAGATAAAAACTAGATAAATATAGGTGTACTTTCAAATAACACACAGTCATCTAAATACAGAGCATAACATTTTTCAAATTTAAATGAGTTCTGAGGCTCTTTTTTATGTCTTTAAAGACTGATTGTTGCCAGTCAACTAGCTCAAGTCTTTAGTTCAACGGTTTTTCAACCTGAAGCAGAGTCTGAAATCCAACTGGACAAGATAAAGACAACAAGAGTAAGAGATCTTCCCACTGAGAGAGATTAGTGAGATGAAACCATCTTTGTGCTTTACATGATTTCATGAAAACTTTGGATATGTAGGAAAAAACTGACAGAAATAACTGGAAAAGAGTTATGCTAATTTGGGCGACGTGCTAAATGGAAAGCCACTGATTTGCAACGGCTGCTCTGCCACTTATTCAGAGACAAACAATTGCTCCGGAGTTGAATGGCAGATCCTTCAGTACAGAGCATATGTGGATTGAATAGAACGGTATATTGGGAATAAGTGGTATAGAAAATGGATGGATGGATTGATTGCACACAACAGATGACAGATGACACACTTAACTTCATCAGACGCATCAAGAAAGCTGGCAACTTTTACGATTTTCCTGCAAAGAGGATGCCATGTCCTTGATTTTATTCGAGCTAATCTTTTTAAAAGCACAAACGTTAACACATTAGAGCACGGTCCCTGGCTTCTGGAAGCTGTGTGAGGCCAGAGAGGATTGCGTCCTGTCAGGGTTTATTCTCCTCAACTCTTGAATTATACGTAAGGTTGCTGTTGGCTGTTATTTTCCGAATACCAGTAGTTGTTGCAGTGCGACTGGTAAGATGTTAAACTCCTGTTTTATTTGGCTGCGTACATTTTAAATCAGTGGCTGTGCACGTAGGAATAGACATGCTCATGGAAATATGAAATGCATCCTGAGCCAGTGACAGCAGTGTCTTCCAGCAGGTACAATTTTAGCTACAAATTAGATTTACTAATAATTACTTTGGCAAACAGGTCCTGATCGGATGGTAAACCACATGGCATGACATCATCTTTGACCTTTGTGTTGACTCACGACTTTTTGTTTTCTTTACTTTTTAACTATAGCGTCATCCTTTAAGTTATAGCCTTTCGGGTTTATGTTTGAACAGAGAACATAACTGAAAAAAAAGGTTATTTCTGATTTCCTGTCTCTCAGTTTGTGCAATCAGTGTCTGAAAATGTTTGATGTAGCTAATAGTATTGAGATGAATGCAGCTCCATGTTTTCTATATCCAGTCAAACTTCCATTCCCAGATGGATGGAACAGTAGGCAACATCCCGTTATTCATCTGAAGTACTGCTCCGTGTACACCTGCATATCCCTCGGCTCTCTCCAGCTATTAGTCGACTTCCTCTCGTCTATATTTATGTTTTTGTGTTTTCCACAGCTGTGCCGGCGCAGATGGAGCCCACAGAGTGCGACACTGTCGGAAAACAGCGTAGTCAACACCTCCGGTTTGATAATAAACTGACATCCGTTTTT